GTGTGGCTGTTTGATGAATATCTGTCGTCTTAATTTATGGAGAAGGAAAAGTTTTATTTCATAGGATGTGTAACTCCCTTGGGATTTAGAGAGCATGGCCCCTTTAAAACCTTGTCCTGAGGCAGGGGAAGTGGTGTTTTTGCCAGGGGGAAGGGAGTATGGAGAGGGAGAGTTGACAGGATGTGTGTATCTGAAGTTCCAGACAAGAGGGCCTACAGGGAGCAGGCCCTCACATAAGGAAGTAGTCAAGAACTAGCCCAAAGCCGGGGAGGGACAGAGCGGCCAACCAGGGATATCCCAGGACAGGAGCCAGGAAAGAGCACTGGGCCAGGGAGGAATCACCAGAGAAGGACAAAGTGGAGCCAGATCCAGTAACACTGCCACCCAGAGCTATATGGGATCGTGAGTATTGAGGCTTGTGATTTTGCATTGGGAATATGGAGGGAGGTTGTAGCCAGTTGAGTGAAGAGGTTGTCGCTCTGTGTAGGTTTGCACAGAACGGCAGAAGAGGGCACCGGAGGGGTTTGTTGGGGAAAGTTTACTGGCGCTGAAGATGACCAGGAGCACCCAAGACTCACTGCCAGACTGGAACTCTGCCCAGGAATCCTGAACTCTGGGTCTAGACGCATTGCTCGGCATCTACCCTTGTATTTTGTGGTACCACCGGTCACGTGGGTCCTCGTGTTGGATGTACCTTGTTTTATTGCTCCCCCATCTTCTTTCCCTGTTCATATTTCCCTTTCCTATATTCATTGTACTGATCCGACGTGTTTACTCCAGGGGGTTTGGAACAGGTGCTTCTGGGGTAAAAGTGAGTTTCCCTGTTGCACTCATGCATGTGCGTCTCCTTGGCTGGAGATGCCAGCACAGTGCACTCCATCTTGGTCATAAGGACGCTATAGTTACATGGGGTCATAGATTCCAAGGCCAGAAGGGACCAGAGTGATCATCCTAGTTAGACTTTATACATAACACAGGCCACAGAACTTCCTCAAAATAATTCCTAGAGCAGATCTTTTGAAAAACATCCAATCTTGATTTTAAAATTGCCAATTAATGATAATCCACCACAATGGTTCCAATGGTTAATTACACTTACTGTTACCCTTATTTCCTGTCTGAATTTGTCTACCTTCAAATTCCAGCCACTGGATCGCATTATACTGTTCTCTGATAGACTGAAGAGCCCATTAGCAAATATTTGTTCACCGCATAGATACTTATAAACTCTGATAATCACCCCATAGTCTTCTCTTTGTTAAGTGAAACAGATTGAGCTCCTGGAGTCTATCACTATAAGGCAGGTTTTCTAATCCTTTAATAATTCTAGTGGCTCTTCTCTGACCCCTCTCCAATTTATCAACATCCTTCTTGAATTGTGGGCACCAGAACCGGACACAATATTCCAGCAGTGATCACACTAGTGCCAAATACAGAGATAAAATAACCTCTTTGCTCATACTCAAAATTCCTCTGATTATGCATCCAAAGAACACATTAGACATTTTGGCCACGGAGACACACTGACAGCTCACGTTCAGCTGATTATCTACCATGACCCCCAAATCTTTTTCAGAGTCACTGTTTCCCAGGATAGAGTCCCCCATCCTGTAAGTATGGCCTGTATTCTTTGTTCTTAGAGGTATACCTTTACATTTAGCTGTATTAAAACACATTGTTTGCTTGTTCCCAGCTTACCATGCAATCCAGGTTGCTCCTTGTCAGTGACCTGTCCTCCTCATTATTTACCATACCTGCAATTTTTGTGTCATCTGTAAACTTTATCTGTTATGATTCTATGTTTCTTCCAGATCACTGGAAAAATGTTAAACAGCATAGGGCCAAGAGCCAATTTCTGGAGGCCCCCACTAGAAACACACTTGCTCAATGATGATTCCATGTTTACAATTACATTTTGAGACCTATCAGTTTACCAGTTTTTAATCCATTTAACAATGTGCCGTGTTAATTTTATATCATTCTAGTTTTTTTAATCAAAATGTTGTGTGGTACCAAGTCGAAGTACATTTCATCAACACTACTGCCTTTATCAACCAAACTTGTAATCTCATCAAAAAAAGATATCAAGTTAGTTTGACAGGATCTATTTTCCATATACCTGAGTCACCTGCTGAGAGCTGTAAGATTCACTCCAGCTTTTACACAAAAATGTGTGGAGCTCATTCCAGAGCCTGACCAGATCCCCAAGAAAGCTCTATCTTCTGCACAGACGAGCTTTGCCTTTGTGGTGGATAGCTCCACTGTGTTTGAGGAACAGAGCTGTTCACCATAGTCTTCATCTGGAGCTTCAGGTGATCTTTTAGGTATCCTGGGCCCAGATCATTTTGTGCCATGAAGAGAAACGTAGAAATCTTGAATTTGACTGAATAGTCTATGGGAAGCCAATGTGGAGTGCAGAGGTGTGACGTGCTCGCGGTAGTCTGTGCTGTTAAATGGATGCACTGCCACCCAAGTGTGAAAATTCTGGCCTTGTTTTAGCATCAGTAATTTCTTCACCAAGGAAAGCTGAACACTCATTTAGCAGCAGAAGACAATTATCTTTGATAATGTTCTATTCCACTGATATTCTCCAATATACAGTAAAGTTAGAGAAACTTTAGTCTTCCTTTTGAACTGTGCTCATACTTCTCTGTATTAGAATTTATTTTTTTGTAATGAAATTAAATCACTTTCCCAATATAAACACTGAAGCTACTACTAATTAGAACTAAAACATTGTTTCTGGAAATCAACTTGCCACAAAATAAGGAGGAAGGTTATTTTCTCCAAATGAAATATTCTGCCCCAGATTATAAATACAATCTTTTAAAAATCTCATAAAATACAGGGCACACAAGATTCCATAGCTATCTAAAAATGTGCACAAATTTATAAATATTGAATATATGGAATGAAAAGATAAGAAATATCTTCTGTGATTTTTACTAAAGGAAGCCAGAAAAATGGTAGTTCAAATGGATTAACAAAATAAGTGTATAAAACAGGATGAAAAGAAAAGGCTGAGGGGTTCATTTTATTTAATTAAGGATCAAGCTTTCATCCAAACAAATGGGTCTCTGCTTCATGTCTATTTTGTGGAACACAATGAAATTAGTTTGTTTAGCTGTATATTATATGTTGGTGATTTTATAACATCAGCTTTTATTAAAAGAACAGGAGTACTTGTGGCACCTTAGAGACTAACACATATATTTGAGCATAAGCTTTCGTGGGCTACAGCCTACTTCATCGGATGCATGTAGTGGAAAATACAGTAGGAAGATATATATATACACAGAGAACATGAAACAATGGGTGTTACTATACACACTATAAGGAGAGTGATCAGTTAAGGTGAGCTTTTATCAGCAGGAGAGAAAAAAAACTGTTTGTCGTGGTAATGAAAATGGCCCATTTCCAGCAATTGACAAGGAGATATGAGAAAATGTAAGGGGGAGGGGGAAATAAGCATGGGGAAATAGTTTTACTTTGTGTAATGGCCCATCCACTCCCAGTCTTTGTTCAAGCCTAATTTAATGGTGTCCAATTTGCAAAATTAATTCCAATTCAGCAGTCTCTCGTTGGAGTCTGTTTTTGAAGTTTTTTTGTTGTAATATTGCGACTTTTAGGTCTGTAATCGAGTGGACACTACAAACAGTTTTTTTTTCTCTCCTGCTGATAAAAGCTCACCTTAACTGATCACTCTCCTTATAGTGTGTCTAGTAACACCCATTGTTTCATGTTCTCTGTATATATATACACACCTTCCTACTGTATTTTCCACTACATGCATCCGATGAAGTAGGCTGTAGCCCACGAAAGCTTATGCTCAAATAAATGTGTTAGTCTCTAAGGTGCCACAAGTACTCCTGTTCTTTTTGCGGATACAGACTAACACGGCTGCTACTCAGCAACTTTTATTAAGTATATCACAAAGACCACACCACACTGTAAAGTTAGTACAATTTTTCTATTTGCCAATCTGATTCAGATATGCCAAGATTCAACTAGCACTGATCATGAAACAACCCCACATGATGGAGGGAACAATAAAGGTAAGGCATTAGTAGCAAAAAGTGGGGAAGGTATATTATTACGCTCCCTACATAGTGTCTTGATTGTAAAAAATTAAAATAGCGAGAGCGAGACCTTTAAGTGTGGTTGTAGTCAGAAACTTCTGTAATTCACCTCATCTAAATCTTCATCTTTTTATTTATTTATTTTTTCTGATTTTTAAAAAAAGATTTTCGTTATGGTAAAAACCACTAATAAACGACTTTATGACAGTAGCAACTTTTTTACTCTACAGTAGATCTTCAGAATTACAAACACCAGAGTTACGAACTGACTGGTCAATCACACACCTCATTTGGGACCAGAAGTATGCAATCTGGCATAAACAACTAAAAAAATTAAGGGAAAGTTTAAAAAAAGATTTGATAAAGTAAGGAAACTGTTTCTGTACTTGTTTCATTTAAATTAAGATGATTAAAATAGCACTTTTCTTCTGCATAGTAAAGTTTCAAAGCTGTATTAAGTAAATGTTCAGTTGTAAATTTTTGAAGGAACAATAACGTTTTGTTCAGAGTTTCAAACATTTCAGAGTTACGAACAACCTCCATTCCCGAGATGTTCATAACTCTGAGGTTCTACTGTACATATCTGCCCTCTGCTTCTTCTTACTTTACTGATAAAACAAGTTCTTCCTCCTGATACAGCTAAGAAAGAGCAAGATGACTACTCTTCTGTTTCATGGAGCATCAACAAATTGTCTGCTAAGTTCTGATTGCATAATCTTTTCTTTCCTACCAGTGATGAGGCATGAGCCAGACAAACAAGCTTGATTTTTCAGATCTATATTTTTTCAAAGCTGATAGTCAGAAAAATTATCTTGACTTGTAAAGAGAACAAATTTGCTCTGGAAATATGGAAACCCTCAATATCATTTTTAGATCCCTTTTACTGAATAAGAAAACATGGACAAAATAAAGCACTCTCACCTGCTGTAGTACTGAGGATAAAACCTGCAGTTTTAAATGGAGATCAAAAGCCTTTTGTTTTTCCTAGGTAGTTGGTCAGCAATTAAATAGAAAGGCAGAAAAGATATGTTAATTCCTAAACAGGTTAAGACAACTTGCTTGCAGAGAACTATGGAATTAAGGTAAGGGATAAGATGCAAATGAATATAAAATACAATAAACCATTATATTTTACATGTGTAACTAAAATATATGAAATAAAGCACTGTCTATTTCTTTTTATCTGCAAGATTCAGGGTAGCATAGCTCATTAAAGACTGCTATATTGCAAAATGTCTGGATTCTCAGGATACATTTTTGATAATATGACATAAACCTGAAATGATGATTTGTATCATCACTAAAGAAAGTGGCGCCAGACAGATGAGTTCTGTAGTGAAGTTGAGAAACAAGAAACTTGCATTCATAGCTTTTGGACCCACATGACAACTCTCTGAAAACAGATTTCTGTGCTTCTTTTGGCAACAATCAACTATGCAATAAATACTGCGTGTGAGTCCAGGGTCAACAATGTTAATATCTCACTTCCTTATATCATTGTCAAGTTCTATCAGATGCTGATGAAATAAATTCAAGATGCAAAGACTTTTTTTTTTTTTTTTTTTTTAGTAAGTCAAAGTCTCCTGGAGTTTCTTATGTGTAGCCAGTGCTGGTATCTTAATAAAAGGACTTCTAAAGTTCCTTCTGAAGAAGGTGAACCTTTTGTATTGAGAAATCTATAAAGATTCATGTTACTAACGTGCTGTAGGGGATTACTTCGGACTACATTTTCAGAAGTGACCCTGGATTTTGGGTATCCAATTTGACATGACTTGGATCCGACTCCAAATGAAGTCAGTGCTCAGCACCTCAACAAAAAGTGTCTCAGTTTGGGCATTCAAAATTGGGGGAACCCAATATCAATATTCGCTTTTGAATTTTTTTTCTTTTAAGTGTTCACCCTGGCATCCTTAGCCAAAATATTTCACCCCACACTGATGTTCAGTATGGAGTGCGTGAATTGGTTGTCATTCTCCACCCCCGAGATGGCTCCATATCTATGATGCTGTGTGCACACAATTTATGAAGTGCTTTAGGATAAAATAAGATTGTCTTAATTATAATAATATGAATCATGATGTACCAAAATCAAGAATTATTCTGTGTGTATCACACACAAGTGTAAAGTATTTAATAAGAAAAACATCTCTCAGGACTTGTCTACACAGGGATATTTACTGGCATAATTATACCCATATAATTATATTGCTATTGTAATACTGATATAACTCCCCATGCCAATGCTCTTATTCTGGAATATATGCTGGTGAATTTCCCCATGTAGACAAGCCCTCAGTTTTAGGTAGAGCAGCTGTCATTCAGATATTTATAAAGCTCATGGATATCGGCACTTAGCGTGCATTTTTCTATTAATTCTTTTGTAAATGGATTAAGCTAATTTGGAATAAAGTACTCCTTCTCTGGAATAAGAGTGTCCACACACACAGTTAATCAGGAATAGATAATCCACTTTAAATTCAGGCTAGGTCTACACTACCCGCCTGAATCGGCGGGTAGAAATCGACCTCTCGGGGATCGATTTATCGCGTCCCGTCAGGACGCGACAATCGATCCCCGAATCGACGCTCTTACTCCACCAGCGAAGGTGGGAGTAAGAGCCGTCGACGGGAAGCCGCGGAGGTCGATTTTGCCACCGTCCCTACAGCGGGGTAAGTCGGCTGCGATACGTCGAATTCAGCTACGCTATTCGCGTAGCTGAATTTGCGTTGTGACGTTGTGCAGTCTACATGGTTTTATAAAAATATAATAATAAGTCAATATAATGTAACTGGGATAGATTTAGAGAAAATACGGTAATAAGTGATATAATGTAACTGGGATATGCTTCATGCAAAAGGTCTCTTGTAAGGTATCATTACAAAGCTTATAATCTACTGAGTATGATAATCTGATTTGTATCAATGTACCACTCTTGTATCTAAAACTAGAAATATAAAACATAACTCTGAGGGCCTATTGTAATTATGTAGAGTGTGGGCCATTAAGGATGGTTTGGAATCTTGATGACTCCCATTGTCTGCAGATGGCTGTATTTACCTTTGAGTCTTCCTGTATATGTGTGTGCTGGCAAGTGAGTAATGAAGTCTTGCAGTGACATGTGATCATGTCACCTGAACTGGAATCCATCTTTAACCTGGTGCTTTTCCAGTGAGGGAGGGTGGAAACCCAGAGGGACAAAGGATTCCCGCCTTATGCAAAAGATATATAAAGGGGTGGAAGAGAACAGAGAGGAGAGAGGAGCCATCATGGAGAAACCCCTAGATAACACCTAAGCTGGAACAAGAGCTGTACCAGGGGAAAGAATTGTGCCCAGGCCTGGAAGGTGTCCAGTCTGAGAAAAACTTACTGAAGCATCTCTGAGGGTGAGATTATCTGTATTTAGTTTGATTAGGCATAGATTTGCGCATTTTATTTTATTTTGCTTGTGACTTACTTTGTTCTGTCTGTTACTACTTTGAACCACTTAAATCCTACTGTCTGTATTTAATAAAATCACTTTTTATTTAGTAATTTACTCAGAGTATGTATTAATACCTGGGGGAGCAAACAACTGTGCATATCTCTCTATCAGTGTTATAGAGGGCGAACAATTTATGAGTTTGCCCTGCATAAGCTTTATGCAGGGTAAAACGGATTTATCTGGGTTTAGACCCCATTGGGAGTTGGGCATCTGAGTGCTAAAGACAAGCACACTCCTGTGAGCTGTTTTTGGGTAAACTTGCAGCATTGGGACAAGTGATTCAGACCCTGGGTCTGTGTTGAAGTGGACTGGAGTGTCTAATTCAGCAAGACAGGGTGCTGGAGTTCTGAGCTGGCAGGGAAAACAGAAGCAGGGGTAGTCTTGGCACATCAGGTGGCAGCTCCCAAGGGGGTTTCTGTGATCCAACCCGTCACAGTGGGAAGCCGCGGAGGTCGATTTTGCCACCGTCCCTACAGCGGGGTAAGTCGGCTGCGATACGTCGAATTCAGCTACGCTATTCGCGTAGCTGAATTTGCGTATCTTAAATCGACCCCCCCCCGTAGTGAAGACGTAGCCTCACATCCTATCTTATTCCAGGTTAACTTTCATGTGTAGATAAGTCTTGAGTCTTACTAGGGTATCTTAATGTTTTCTTTAAAAGAAAGAGACTGTAGCTACCAGGTTACTCCCATTCATGAGTATAAAGGCTGTCCTTTGCCATAGCTGGACCCTGGAAACAGCAGCTCCTCTTCAGACAAAGTCCAGACTGGGAATGAGGCCTTAGACTGTAATCCAAACATTGAAGCATAAGTAGGGAAAATTAAACTGGCTGCAAGAGTGAAATTAGTCAGTCTATTTTTATGGCCTAAGCAAAAAGAAATAGAAGAAGTAAACAAAAATAGACAGACAAATAATGTAAATTTTTAAAATTCTTTTGGTTTTAATGATATAATAATGACCTGTAAACAGGCCAAGAAAGTTTGTTTTTTATAATATATGACATGCCTCTGTAAAATCTAGCTCTTCTGATCAGTGGGGCAGAGCGCAGAGCAAATCTCAGGGCTAGTGTTGAGGAAATTGTTGTCCAGGGCATATGATAAACTTGGAACATTACTACTCATGAATATACCAAATAAGAGAGCTAAAATACGCATCTTATCACAAATGTTACTCCCAGCATCGTATCATTAAGACTTCCACAAAATGGTTTCAATATTTTGTTTGTTTGTTTGGTATTGAAATATTTTGCTAAGTTTTTAGAGGAAAAGAAGGAAAGAAGTAAGATATAAAGAGTAAATCCAGGTTAATTTCCAGACAATCTAATTAGAAAGAGAAACGTATATTGCATAACGCATAAGTTATTAAAACAGAACTTATGCAATGGGCTCTAAGAATGTCTGTGTATGAGAATAAATCTTCAGGAATACCGCATATATCAAGTAAAATGTTCAAGGCCAACATTTTCAAACTTATGTCCTAAAGTTAGGCTCTAAACCCATATTTAGACATCCAAATGTAAATGACCTGATTTCAGAAGAGCTGAGCACTCACCAAGATCCACTGAAGCCAATACCAACATTTCAGTAGCTTGAAGACTCAGTGTTGCCAGTTCTCACAACTATACTGCCAGTCTCTTGATATAATGTGTTTTTCTTAAAGCATCAGCTCATGAAATCATGGGATTATGCGAGATTCCCAACTTCTGATTTTTTAAAAAAAAGTGTTTACCTCTCATGGTTGCAGAAAAAAAGCTTGAAAATATGAACCCAAAAGGCTCAAAAACCAGAAAGCAAATAAATAGAATCCCAACATTTATTATTTTTAATAATACTGTGATCTTAAACCAATCTCATGATTTTTTGGAGCCTGAATGTTTAGGTTTGGCAATATTGAGGATGTCATTAGCATATACAGCTATCCCCCTCCTGCCTTAGTTTTTCATAAATTAAGTATCTCACATACAGCCCAATTTTCAAGTAAGGATGCTTAAAATAGGGTGCCCAATTCTACATTCAGGAGCTGCAACCAGCCATCAGGCACCCAATCACCTGCTTTAGACACATAGAGTAGGCGCCACTTTCAGTACCCGAATATGAAATTGGGCACCCAATTTTGACATCTGGAATCTCAGGTTAAGATTTTCAAAACTGGGTAATGAATTCGGGTGCTCAGCTTCAGACACCTTAAAAAGAGCTTGTTTTTCAGACAGGGCTGAACATTCACCCTCTGAAAATCAGGCCCTTTTAAGGTGTCTCAAGTTGGAACACCTAAAATTTGAGGCACCAAAATTTCTGTTTTTTGTGTTTATTCCCATTGGGGATCTTCATCTACTAAGGTCAGGGCTGGTGCAACCACTTAGGCAAACTAGGCGGCCGCCTAGAGCGCCTAGTGGTTGAGGGCGCCTAAAAGCCCGCTCAGGCGAGGAGGTGGAGTGGAGGTGAGCTGGGGCGGGGGGAGGGGGGGGGACGCGGGGAGAGCCGCCCGCAGTAACAGGGGGGGCGCACAGGGGAACCGCACCTCGCCCCAGATCACCTCCACTCTACCTCCTCTGCTGAGCACACAGCCCCCGCTCTAAGTCTCCTCCAATCGGCGCCGCAAGCCTGGGCAGGGAGGAGAATTAGAGCAGCGCCAGCGTGCTCAGCAGAGGAGAGCTGGGGCGGGCTCCTCGGGCGGGGTTAGCTGCCGCGGGGGGGGGACGGGGTTAGCTTCTGTGGGGGGATCTCCCCGGGTGGGGTTAGCTGCAGTGGAGGGGGGTGGGGTTAGCTTCCGAGGGGGGGAAGGGGCTCCCCGGGCAGGGTTAGCTACCGTGGAGGGGGGCGGTGTTAGCTTCCACGGCGGGGGTGTGTCCCCGGGCCGGGTTAGCTGCCGTGGAGGGGAGGCTTGCAAGGGGGGGTAGCTGTTGTGAGGGGGGGGCTCCCTGGGTGAGGGGGGCGGTTAGCTGCCGTGGCGGGTGGGGTTAGCTGCCATGGGGGGGGGCTCCTCGGGTGGGAGGGGGCGGGTGGGCGTGGTTAGCTGCCACGGGGGGGGGGGGGGTGGGTGGGCGGGGGGGGGGGGGGGAGGGGGAAAGGTGGAAGTTTCGCCTAGGGCGCGAAACTTCCTTGCACCGGCCCTGACTAAAGTATCAGTTATATAATTTATCTATCACATATGCTATATGAATTTAGATTACTTTTCATCTTTGGGTTGCTGAGGCCCTGAATTTGAATCTGATCTTCTCAGTTTCGGTATTTCATTGCAACAAGTAGATAGCCAGTTGAAAGAGAGATTAAACAACATCTATGAAATACTCGCCAAGAATAGGAATGAAGTCAGCTCACATTTTTCTATATAGTGAGGCTTCAGCAAGTTCCGCTATAAATTCCTCTGAGGCCATGACTGTGAATAGTGTTGGGAAGTCTTGACTTCTTTATTACAGACAAACAAACATATACAACAGGCTTGGATGACTAACTCTGGAGGACCTTACTTTCTTTTAAAAACACTTAGCCAGGGATGCTGGACATTCACTTTTTGTACATTTTTAAAGTTTCTTTCTTCCTGATAAGATAATATTACAGAAAAGCATAAAATTCTTTGGAGTTTTTTTAAACAATATATATATTTAATTTAAAATGCTAAAATAAAAATAATGAATAATCCAGTATCTATTCAGGGTTAAAGTTAGAGGGAAAACCCAGGCATTCCTGTGGCTTTAGAGGTCTATAAACTTATTCATAGAAGAAAAGTACACCCCCAAAACTACAGAGGTAAGGTCTCGATCACAAATAGGAAAGACTAATTTCAAGGTTCTCATTGTCACAAAATTGCTTTTTGCAATGTAACTATGTTAACTACAGCCAATTTTTAAAAAAAGCCTAGACTACAAATCATTAGTTCCCCTTCCTCACTATATGATGCCCACGTTGCTAAAACAACTTCAGTTCCTTCTCAAAAGATCCATAAAGTAAAGCGCTGTGAATCACAGAACACACAGTTCCTAATAAATGAAAGATATAGGTGGAATTGTCACTCGTTTTGAACTGTCAGACCCTGAGCAGGAAGGAGCTGGGTGATTTTCACGGGAAACAGAAGCCTCAGGTGTGGGGCTAACACTGCATCATTTGAGTGGCATTACAAACTTATCCTAGACTATCAGCATTTTTTGTCACTTGACTTTTGCTGTAAGGTACTGTAGCTTAAGTATGTTGCTCACACACTGTAACCCAGGGACCTCTTGATGCCAACTGGCACCAGGCATAAGGAGTACATAGGGGTTTACAGAGATCTCTACGTCAGCTATCCATGCAACAGTTTGCCAAACAGTGGCATGGAATCTAGTGAGAGCCAGTACCTTACTGATCATCATAATCATTGCAATGGATGGATAGATGGATATTTAAGGAATTAGATATCTATACTGAGAACTATGTCCTTAAAGTTTGTAAGGTAAGACAGGTCACCAGAAGGTAACACCCCAGAAGGTAACACCCCAGTTCAGGCTGGTCATTGTGCTTCTCCCTGGCTGGTCATTCTGTAGTCTGTCTCTCCAAATTTAAGTCCATTGCATTACTGAGCCAAAATGAAGAAATTGTGAATTCACATAAGAAAAGATTTGCAGGAATAAACAAACAGCAGGGCAGGAGTGTCATTTTCCCAGTAAAGACAATGGATTTTTGTGGTATAACTAGATGTACTGAGGTACACTGGGGATCTATCTTTCACTGAGGAGACAAAGGCCATGTCTACACTACCCACCGGATTGGTGGGTAGTAATCGATCTATCGGGGATTGATTTATCGTGTCTCATCTAGACGCGATAAATCGATCTCCGAATCGACGCCCGTACTCCACCTCAGCAGGAGGAATAAGCGGAGTTGACGGGGAAGCCGCGGCGGTCGACTTGCCGCCGTGAGGACGGCCAGGTAAGTCGAACTAAGATACTTCGACTTCAGCTACGCGAATAGCGTAGCTGAAGTTGCGTACCTTCGATCGATTCCCCCTCCCCCCAGTGTAGACCAGCCCAAACTGTCAGTGCGTTCTGTATTATGAAAGGAGGGTCACAGCCACCCTGGCTGGAAATTGCTGCAAAGAGGTTGAGTGAGCTAAATTTCATTGTACAAGACAGTATCTTATTAAGTAAGTCTAGGCTCTAGAAGACATGTTATGATTTTATTTTATATGTAACCATTTGTTTCCAATACTTTGACTTGCTATTTCTACTGCTCAAATCTCTATACTTCTTTAAATAAACTTTTACTTGTTTTCAAGTACATAAGTCCTGTGTGTTAAATGGAACAGTGATCTGAAGGGGAACTGGTAAGATGATGTATACTTCTTCTTTGGGAGCAGCAGATCTGTGAATTCTGTGTCTAGTGGATCAGGAACTGGTTACTTTAGAGGGATTGCTCAGAGGGCTCAAAGACTGGAGTGTGCCTATCACTAATCTGGAGTAGAGAGAGAGCAGGGGAGTGTTTTTGTTGCCCGTGGTGTAGAGCTGAAGAACGAAATTGTTTCTTTTGGTTATTACTGTTTTAACATTGTAACTCCTGTTTACTGTTTGCCTTTCAACATTGTAAATTGTTCATTACCCTTGTTTTAATAAGACTCCATATTGTAACTCAAACTCCATTTTGAAATGCTCACTCCAGTTTGTAAAACCCTGCTGTAACCTTCATTTTGCAAAACCCTGCTGTAACCTTATTAGTTTAGTTTAGATATGTGAATGAGGTATGCATGAATAATGGAATCAACCTCCAGCCCCAGCCTGTCCTGATAAAGTTAAGTGCAAACACCAATGGCTGAAGATGCAGACAACAGCCCTGACAAAGTAAGAAGAGTCCACCCTAAAAGAAAAGAACAAAGGTACAATTAAAGCAAGATCAAAGTCAGGTCCGAGGCTGAAAGTCATGTCTGCAATTGACGGGTGATCAATCACTCCGAACCCAGAGACAGCGTGACACAGCAAGACCTATAGACTCTTGATTCAAACTAAAAGCCTATTAAAAAGATGGGTGAGATGGAAGACTTTGGGTAACGTTCTGCTGCCAACACTGAAGGGCATCGGTGCATGCCCGACAGAGACTCGGCTCTTCCTTGTGCCAGGCTTTCCTGGCCAGTTAGCTGCCACGAGCTACGAACTCAAGCTGCGAAATTAAGCCACGGACTCAAGCTACGTTCAGGACTGGTAACTATCCAGCAGCTGCAGAACATGTGGGGTGTGTGTGTGTGTGTGTGTAGGTATTAGCTATTGGTTATAGATCAAATTGTTGTTATAATAAATGTGACATCTTGCCTTGTCCCCTGAAACGATCCTGTGTAGTTTTATCTGCATAACAGTGTCTGGTGGGGTTGGAGAGCTGACCCCCAGCAAGAACCGACAAGGCTTCCTCACACTGAGGGCAAGTGGTAGTGAGGTGCCTCACTAATCCGGGAAGTGTCACTCTCATACAATCATCTTGGTCATCAACTAAACCACACGCACATTTCATGAGGAACTCAGGCTACAGGAGCCCAGCGTATACATTTGAAAAGCTGGATTTAATCAATATAGAGGGAAGTACATTAAAAGGTGAAGAGAGCACTGGTGTATTCAGGTGCATGGGTATAATACCACATGAAAAGACATTCAAATAAAGACAGACAAAAAAGCAGGTGGTAAATACCCTTCTAGGTTCTGGATTTCGGAACACTTCATACAAACAATGGATCAAACACATTCTGTCAGGAGAGACTCTGCATTTCAGAATCTGTATAACATTTTGATATATATGGGATCTTATTATCAGATAGAAAACAGAATCAGTAGACATGACAACAGGTCTGGAAAGCATTAAAGAGACACACAAACTACCCAGATAGAGAGGCAACAGGAGACTCTAATGCATCAGCGTCAATTAAATGATACTGCGTAAAGGAGAGCAGGTAAAGGCTGAAAAGGTTTTCATTGACCACTTAATGAGCAGAGGTGAAAAAATAGATGCCGATATGTGTTTAGGTAAAAACAAAGGGTTAGATCCTCTGCTGGGGTACATCGGTGTAATTTCATTAAAGTCAATGGAACTACACTGATTTACATGAACTGAGAATCGGACCAAACATAAATTAATTGCATTTGGCCTGATCTTGCAGGCTTTCCATAAGCAAAACTCTCATTCATGGAAATGGGAGCTTTGACTGCACAAGGATTGTAGGACTGGGTTTCACTTTTATCAAGTGACTGTGTTTAAACTCTTTGCCGATCCCAGTGAACATTATATACTCTATCCCTTGTTCCACTATAAACAGGGTAACTTTCCAACCTCCTCTTTAAGGATTCTAGTTTCTAAGCTATTATCCCTCTTCTCCTTTCACTTACCTTCTTCAACTCCTCCTGAATGTTTTTGCCATTTTCTTCTGAGGACAAACTTTCCTTCTGGGTCTCCGATTCTGTTCTAGGCTCTGACTCCTGCTCTTCACCAGAAGAGGTTTCCTTGTCACTCATTTTAGCAGCTAGTTCAAATAACTCGGATTTAAGCTTTTCCTCAACAAGGTCTGTCTTGATTTTATGGTGTTGATCCTCACTGCTTATATCAGCTTCTGATAAATCCTCAGAAACCTACGATGAAAATCAAAATAGCAAAAAATTCAAATAAAGTGCAAAGAAAAGAAAATCAACAGGGTTTCTACAAAGACTACATTTAAGTTCACAATACATACAAATACACTTTACTCTGCAGGAAATCTAGAAAAATACCACAGTAGGAATCTCTAGGCAGATAGATTTTTACTTCTGTGTAGACTATGCCCAGCATATTTACTTTCAGAAGACAATAATATTTCTCTTTTCTGCTCTTTTCCATATTACATGAAATAAAGCAATAGGTCCATAAATAATTAGCTCCCTCTGTGCAAATAATAAAACACTCTCATATTATAGCACTCTTCACCAAAACACTGTACAAAGGAAACCCTACATCATCATCCTCAGAGTCATTTTACAGATGAGGAAACTAAGACAGAGAGGTGAAGTGGCTTGCACAAGGTCACATGTTCAGTGGCTGACTTCAAGTCCTGTCTCCTAGCCAGGTCCTCTGACTCCCAGCCTGGTGTACTACCCATGGGTTTACACTGCTTCTTTAAGAATTACTGGAAACAAGTTCAACCTTTAGATGCACAATGTTTTCTTAGCATTTGATCCTGAAAGGTGCAGAGCACTCATAGTTCCAGTTAGCTACAATGGCAGTCTTGGTGCTTAGCACCTGTTAGGATAAGGCCTTCAGTCTGGAGACAAAATGGAAAAAGGAGAAATCCTCTTATGTAGTTATAAGTACTTTTGCTAGGATGTCTGCCCCACATTTTACAAAATGGAGACACTTCTGAGCACTGAAAGCTATCATTAAAAAATGGAACTTTTCATCTCTTCCAGTAGGGATAAGAAGAAATATCAGATCACAATTCCCCAGTACTAAGGATCCATCTACACTTCGAGCTCGAGTGTGATTCCCAATGTGAGGAGACATTCTTGTGCTAGCTGTCATCCAGCTAGTGCACTAAAAATAGTGGTGAATGGGCTAGCTGCCCCAAGTATGTACCCGTCCAACATACTCCAGTTGCTAGCCCCTCCTATGGTTTGTGATGCCATGAGTACGTTCTATTTTTAGCGCACTAGTTCTATCAGAGCTAGCCCAAGTATGTCTTCTTGAGCTGGGAATCACACCCCTAGCTCAAAGTGTAGATGTAGTCTAAGTGTCAGGAATTCTTTGAAAAAGAACACAGTCATGATCTAAATGTCTGGGGAGAGAGGATACAAAGAACGCAGATTCTAATCCACAAACAGCCACTGCACAGCACTTGGCCTAAATAGATGATTGATGGCAACTCTAAGAGAGGAAATAATATGGATTATGACACTAAGAAAAACAAGCTAGGCAATCTTATTTACCTGGTGCTCTCCCACTGACAGGACTGGAGAATGCCAGGGAGATTAACGATCTGGATTCTTCGCTTCCAAGAAACAGAACAGTAGATTTGTTTTGTGAGGCTAGTTTGTTTGCATTGCCAAATGCAGTATTCCCTGGATGTATCTACCGCTTGGAAATCTAAAAACTATGGTAATTTTGACATTTCCCTCATAACTTGACCAGTTATGCTTTGTCACTCATGATGGAAATCTTACCTTTCTGTGGAGCCCTTTCACAATTTTGTATCTGCCATTATTTGTGAGCACAAATGAGATCATGCAGCTCTCTAACTAATAATGCAAATCAGGTAGCTGGACATTTAAATGTTATAATTTGCACCCACAAATCTGGAGGTTGTTTCTGAAAATTAGGATCACTGTTGCTGCAAAAATGGCTGCCATAATGGAAGGGGACTCCATCTGGATTTAATGGATTTACTGGATTAATGGATTAATTTTTCCACCAAAGCACCAGTTTTTGCACAGTGAATAGTTTTCTCATCACTTGAGCTTCCAAATTGTTCTGAACAAGATGGGGTTGCACCTGAAGAACAGAGTCTCAAATGGAAATGTTTCCACTCTATTTTTACAATGTTACAATAGAACTTTCAGTATGTTTAAAAGACTGATCTCCTTCCAACCCTTTAATTCAAATGCCTTCTCCTCTCCCTTCTCCGAAGACTTACCCAGCACTTGCTCTAATGGCACCTCTCAGGAAAATGTCAACAGGAATGGTGAAAGATACAGAAATTGTGCAGAAATATTTTGCATGTCTGTCAATAGATTTGCAATGGAAGGCATGGACTCATATTGTCTCGACTATCAGAGTTTGTTGCTGAATCCCTGAATTTGAAGCTCGGAATAGTGACAGATATAATTAATTTGGGGCTAGGCAGTGTGGTGAATCATTGCACTAATATTTCAGATATGTAGATCTGTTTTCAAACACTGGTTAAGAGCTCAAGTGAGACATCGGTGGTCTCCATGTACAGTAATAGAGACTGGACAATTTTGTATTCAAAGCCATCACATGATTCTCCACAATCTAATCAAGAAAGGCCAAGACTGAAATTTCAGAAGGTATTGCCTGTTAGGACTGAGGTACAGTGGCAAAGCAGGTCTGAGGGAAGAATCTTAGACGTAAGACTTAACTTAAGACTGCGAGTCTTTCATTGAGGTCACAGAAGTCACGTATTCTGTGCGTTTCCGGGACCGCCATGACTTCTGCAGCGGATGGTGCAGGTGACCCGAGGGCTGCCCGAGCAGCTGGGGCGCCCCCAGAGCCAGCTGCACTGGCTGCTGCTTGGGAGGCCCCAGGCAGCTGGTCCCGGTCACTGCCCCGGAGTAGTGGCGGGGCCCCGGACTGTCCCCCGCCCCCAAGCAGCAGCGACGGGGGCCTGGGTCACCCCCCCCAACAGCAGCCCCCTGGGCCGTCCCCCACCCCGAGCAGCAGCGGCGCTGGGGCTCCAGGCTGCCCTCCCTCGAAGCAGCAGTGCTGGCGCACCGGGGCACCACCCCCCAGCAGCAGTGGTGGCGTGCCGGAGTCTCCCCACCCCCACTGCAGCAGCATCGTCTGCTGGAGCGCACCCTCCCCAACACCTGCAGCACCCTGGAGCCCCCCAGAGCACCTAAGATTTAGTCAGGGGTATTTATAGGACAAATCATGGACAGGTCACGGGCGTGAATTTTTGTTTATTGGCCGTGACCTGTCCATGACTTTTACTAAAAATATCTGTGACTAAATCGTAGCCTTATTTATACTATCCCGGCACAAGCCAGTGCTATTAAATCCTAATATTCAGGGGCACCAAATTCATAAATTAGTTTAAAGAATCCATATTGAGGTTGACTGGACCAGATGTCCTCTTGATACTGAAAATACTATACCAGCCTTTCAAACCAAGAACTGCAGCACTTAAAACACTTGCTCTCTAAGGACCTGATCCAAAGTCCATTGAAATTAGTGAGAGTCTTTCTAGTGACTCCCATGTGCATTGCATCAGGGCCTAGCAGAGCAATTCAACCAACTAGCCCACAGGGGCATTGGCTTCATTAGGGAGATAAAAGGGTGTGTGTAAGTTGAGCTGTCTAACTTGAGGTTAAAGTCGAGGTAGTTTGTAGTTTTCACACAAGGGAGCAGACAAAGTTAAAGTCTACAGGGAAGCCTAGTCTTTAACTTGACCTGTTACATAGTGTAAAAGCTAAAAACTTGTTTTCACTAGAATTCACCTCCTGTTAGCTGATTTCACTTAAGGACACCTCCCCCTCCCAGTGAAGACACAACCTCAGAGGATTGAGTTTGTTGAGATCATGGACGCAGCTATGCTTGCTGTGTACGGTTGCCAATTTTGGTTGGACATATTCCTGGCGATTTAATCACATCACATAATCTTTAATTAAAGATTCATCTTTAATTCAGGGAGACTCCAGGCCAATCCTGGAGGGTTGGCAACCCTATGCTGTGCCTTCCTTCCCCCACCCAGCCTGCTGCTTTCTTGTGAGTAGCCTGAGTATTTATATTTGCGGCAATGCAGGGAGAATTATGTCCAATGTTGTAGACAGTGGTCATTGTGTTGTTCGTAGGCTTCTTGGCTGAAACACTGAGCTTTTAACACAGTTACAGTGAAAGTTTTGTGATGACATGATGCATTTTTCTGTATTTTTTTTAATCAACTGTATTTTAGGGCAGGTCACTTTGAGGGCCTTGTCAACCTTAACAACAAACCAACCAAAAATGTACTTTCTTCTCTTGTGTGAAAAGTTTTCTTCAGAGTTATGCAGTGGTAGTTTACAGTTCACATAATCTAGCCTAGTTTTATACCATCTAATGTCCCATCTTTAAAGTCAATGTATAAATTCACACTGGCATGTATCAGCAACAGATATACCTATTTGCAGAACCAAGTACTAAGGGCCACATTTTGCTTTGTTACACTTGTGTAACTGAGAGTAGGACTTGGCCCACAGCTTCTAAACTATAAATGTTTTAAGAAAATGAAGTGTACCTTTCCCATAAGATATTCTGCAAATAATTGCATGTAAAATCATCATCAAGTCAGTGTAATCAAAACAAAATATGCACAAAAAAGAAAAAAGGTGAACTCAGTAGTGCTAAAACAAAACTAAAAACATTCAAATTAAATCCTTCCAAGACAAACCAATTTCAAATAGCAAAAGTAAACCCACATTATACTGTAACTAATTAAGAAAAATACCACAAAAAACGGGCGTTGCTATAATCAGTAACTGCACTGAAGGTCACATGGAAAATGAGGGCCTACTCTCTAAATGAGGGCAAAGACATTGTATAAAATGTTCACTTTACGGGTTACTTTTCAATGTTTGTTTGCACTTAGAAGTCCCATATTTCCAATAAATGAATCACAAGCGCCATCTAGTGGGGCTTGAAATTCAGAGCACACACTGTATCCCGCCTTCATTTATAGCTTTGTCAAAATAGCATAGAACTATATGACAAGATTTTAATGAATGGATAATGCCATTTTCTAAGAGCAATAGCTGACTTCATAATGAAATTAGGTCAAATTAATCTAAAGCAATCAAGGTACTGTAGTTTTCATGATCCCAATGGAATTAAACACCATTATTATTCCCCTCAAAATATAAAGTGAAGTTAAGGTTGAAGATTCATATAAGTGGTTTGACTGTATATAATTTTTCAAGGCTATTAGTTAAAAATAGAATTAGAACACAGAGATAAGGGTTGTACTTCCCAACCAAGACAGCCAAATTATCTTAAGTCTGCTCTGTAGAGATACTAGCCTACCATCAGGGCCGGCTCTAAGTCTTTTGCCGCCTCAAGCAAAAAAATTTTTGGCTGCCCCACAGCCCTGGGCTCCCCCCCGCCCCCAGGGCCCTCCCCCACCCCCTGCCGCCCCAGTCCTGGGCTCCCCCCCCCAAAACGTGACCTCCTCGTTCACCACAGCAATCCCCGTTTACACTTGCAGTCAGGGCCGGTGCAACCTATTAGGCAACCTAGGCGCTTGCCTAGGGCACTAGGATTTGGGGGGGCGGCATTTTCTTCGGCGGCGACCGCGGCGGCCAGATCTTCGGCCGCCCCGGTCGTCGTCGGCATTTAGGCGGCGGGAGCTGGGGCAGGGGGACGCGGGGAGGGCCGCCTGCAGCAAGTAATGGGGGGAGGGTGGCACGCAGGGGAACTCCCTGCCCCAGCTCACCTCGGTGCAACTGTATCGGCACTAGTGTTGTGACTAGTGGAGCAGCAGGCCTTCTATCACAGATAAGGGCTAGAGGTGTAAACACTCCAACCAAATAACACCTGCAGAAACAGAACGATTGCTCGGGAGAGTCAGAAGAGCGGAGCCGATTGCTAACCGCCTTATGGAGAGAGAGATAGGGGAGAAGAAATGGTTCACTTCCTTGATTCAGTCACACCATCCTGCTACTTTAGAAGATGACCTAACCAGGGAATTTATATGTTAATTTCTCTTAAATACCTGAGACAGGATGCAGGGGAACTACCTGGTCCCTAATAAATAATGGGGTTGAAGCCAGCTCTGCTTGCCCCTTGCCTTACTCAGGTGTAAGAGTGACTACTTGGGAGACTGCCTTTGGGACAATCAGGCCCCACACAGGACTCCAGTCACATGACTGGTGTGATTTCCTGCTTACTTTCTGCTTAGATTACATTATTTTACTTCCTTGTTATAAAAACTGTCCTTTGAGGAAAGACTTTGCTCTCTGCAAATGTGCTAATTATTTCTGAACCCGAGTCATTACATTCTGACAGTTTACAATTTTCTCTCTTTTTGTTATGAATGACAACATCCTTATAAAAGCAGCATGTAGAGAGATACCCACATGCACAATGCCTAAATACAATACAGTGGGAAATTAAAAACAGCCATTACTTGGATTATAATTCAGTAACAGCCCATAGTTTTTACATTCCTGTTCATAGCAATCCACACTAGTGTTCTCCATTAAAAGGATATTTGCCAGCAGTTACCCCACAATATTATCTGAGATAGCTCACTTGTTTCCCATTCCAAGAAGAGTGAAAAATGTAGCTACCCATATACCACTGTGTGCTAAATGTTGGGAAATTCTAATTTTTTTAATAGCAACCTCTGTATTGTACTGTACTACTAATGCCACTGTATCGCCTGGAAGTGATAGGGAACAAAGTGATGAATATACAGGAAAGACCAATAACAGTTTATGCATCACATTGCCTTCTACTCAATTCTGATACACCTGAGGGATAAAAAACTTGAGTGTGTTTTCTCTCCTGGATATGATCAGTGCATTGCTGTGAGTGAGTAAGTCTGAGCTGATTTTGTAAAGTGCCTTCTAGTACTGTACAGTGTTCACAGATTCTAAGGCCAAAAGGGACCATCGTGATAATGTAGTCTGACTCCTGTATAACACAGGCCGCAGAACTTCCCCAAAATAATTCCTAGAGCAGAGATTTAAAAAAAACATCCAATCTTGATTTAAAAATTGCCAGTGATGGTGAATTCACCAGGACCCCTGGTAAATTGTTCCAATGGTTAATTACCCTCACTGTTAAAAATGTACGCCTTGTTTCCTGTCTAAATTTGTCTATCTTCAAATTCCAGCCTTTGGGTCATATTATACTGTTCTCTGCTAGACTGAAGAGTCCATTAGCAAATATTTGTTCCCCACGTAGATACTTATAGACTGTAATCAAGTCACCCCTTAACCTTCTCTTTGTAGAGCCCTGCATGGATACACAATTTATATCCCCGGATGCGGATATCCGTGGCTTCAGTGTGGCGAGACCAGCAGGACCATGGCCAGCGACAGGTCCAAGAACCGCAGCAGCGAAAGCAGCAGCATGTCGGGCCGCCGCACACAAGAGCCAGCGCCCAGCCCTGGCAGCTCCTGCAGCCTAGCTGTGCCGCCCCCAGCCCCGCCTACTGGGGCGGACACCAGGCTCACTGGCAGCTGTCCCTAGTCACGCTAGCGTGTGCAAGCAGCTCGCATGCTCCCGGACAGGAGTTGCACACCGCTGCGGCTTAACATGCTGCTTGCAGGACCCCACTAGAAACACACCCACTCAGTGATGGTTCCCCATTACAATTACATTTTGAGACCTATCAGTTAGCCAGCTTTTAATCTATTTAATGTTTGCCATGTTAACTATATATTGTTTTAATTTTTAATGGAAAAGTTATTGTAGCATTAAGCCAAATGTTTTACAGAAATCTAAGTATATTACATGAACACTATTATCTTTATCAACCCAACTTATAATATCATAAAAAGATACCAAGTTAGTTTGACAGGATAGATTTTCCATAAACTAATGTTGACTGGCATTAATTCTTTATTAATTGAGTCCCGTATCAGCTGCTCCATTATTTTGCCCAGGACTTACATCAGATACACAGTCCTCTAATTACCTGGGTTGTCCCATTTACCCTTTTTAAATACTGGCACAACATTAGCTTTCTTCAAGTCTGCTGAAACTTCCCTGATGTTCTAAGACTTATTGAAAATCAACAGTAACTGTCCACTAAGCTCCTCAGCCAGCTCTTTTAAAACTATTGGATGCAAGTTATCCAGACCTACTGATTTAACTACATCTAACTTTAGTAGATACTGTTTAACATCCTCCTGAGATATTAGTGGAATGAAAAGAGTGTTATCATTGTCATATGATGAGACTGCATAATCTGTTTTTCCCCAAATACAGAACAGAAACATTTATTGAACACTTCTGCCTTTTCTGCCTTATCACTGATAATTGTACCATTTCCATCTAGTAATGAACCAATACTATTGTCCGGATTCTCTCTGTTCCAATATACTTAAAAAACTCCTTCGTATTGTCCTTATCTCTGCTGGCCATAAATTTCTCCTTGTGTCCCTTTGCTTTTCTTATCTATTTTCTACAATTGCTAGCTTCTTATTTATATTCATCACTATCAACTTCCCCTTTCTTCCATTTGTTAAATTGTATTTTGTTTTTTTTATAGCTGCCTTCGCTTCCCCTCTAAGCGAGATCAGTTTTTAAACCAATATGGTGTTCTTCCTCAATTGTGTTTTTTTGGGCATCTAATAAAATGTTCTTAAACCATTACCAATTATAATTCATATTTTTCTGATAAAATTCTTCCTCCCAGCTAATTTGACTCATAACTATTTTCAGCTTTGTGAAATTGGCCCTTTTAAAGCACTAAGCATATATATTGCTGGTTTGGACTTTATTCTGTTTGCATATTATAAATGGATTAAGTCATGATCACTTGTACGTAAACTATTTTTAATTTTTAGTTCTGTGATCAGTTCTTCTTTATCTGTCAAGATGAGGTCCTAATACAGAATTACCCTGTGATGGTTGCAACACTTGAGTCAAGTTGAATCAGGACGTTGTCATCTATGATATTTTGAAATTCCAAGGATGTTTTAGTACTGGCAGCCTGAGACCTCCAGCATATGTCCCTCAAATTGAAGTCCCCCATGACCACACAAATTTTTTCCCTACAGATTACAGATAGGTACTTAAGGAGCAGGTCATCCTGCTCCCTAGTGTGATTTGGTGGCCTGTAGCACATATATTCAAGACCCCATTTTGTGCTTTACTTCTTAGGACATTCAAGATCATCTTCTGAGGGACTCAGAAACAGGTAATGCCATTTTTGACAAAGTGTGCCACTCCCCCTGCCCACTTTTGCTTACTCAATCCTTCCTATATAAGCAAATGTAGTTACCTGATTTGTGCTCAAATTCTTCTTGTGGGTTTTTGTGTGATTTTTTCCTTCACTTAATTCTTCTGAGACAATTTTGCTCTTTCTCCACCTTCTAGACCTCTTTTCTAAATCATAATGGACTTCCTCAGTCTCACTGCTATCTGAATACTCTAAACTGTCAGCCTGTGGATTGAAATTTACATCCAGTTCTCCATGTAAATGTGCTTTTTCCACTCTGGGTTTGTCACTCTGAGTTCTCCTTTGTAGCCAGGGAAGTTTGCTAGATTCTCTAGCCTCCCTTGAGGAATTTACTGAAGATGTTTCAGAATCAGAGTACACCGTCTCTGTATTGGTGTATAGCCCAGATGAAGGTGAGGTCACTGGCTGGTACGGATCACTGCCATAAGCCCATTCAGTATTGTACTGGGAATCGGTATAATAAGAATCCTCGGACAACTGCTTGGGCCTCCGACGCAGCTTGTTCAAGGCCACATTCCAGTCATAGTCGTCCTCGCTATCCGAGCCCATCTCGTCATAAGCAGACACAACACTAGATTCATTCTCCAAAGCTTTGAATACTTGGCTCTTTGGTTTGGCAAGCATTCTAGGGCGAGGCAACGTAATGCTCTGCAAAGCCACCCAGTTCCCATCAGTGCTTTGTAAAACAGGAGATGGACCTGTGAAATTAAAACAAGAACAAATCCCCTAATTATTACTTTATTATTTCAGTTTGACAGGCTGACTTTTGCACAGTCAAATAAGGATTTTAGCAGCGACTAGCCATTTTGGGTATGTCTACACAGCAAAATTGGAGGGCTAGCTGCATGGGCTAGTGAGCTGAGTACTTACCCAGGATCCTTGCCAGGCTTGTCTACCCACGCTGAAGCACGCACCATGTTGTCTTTATTGCTATTGCTACCCACACTAACTAGATTCAAGCTAGCTTGAGTAGGCTAGTCTGTGCACAGCTTCTGCTGTGTAGACATACCCTTTATGATGGGACCAGCACAAGATAATGACAGACACCAATGAATATGTGGTACGCTACATAGATTTTATCATACCCTGAATCAGGGATCTTCCCAATTATCCCATTTTAATCAGAAGTCACCACAGAATTCTGTGGGGACATCTTTTTAAAATATATGTGACAATAGGGTCCAAGGTTAGGCTATACAGCCTGTGTTTCAGGCTAACCTAAAATTCAGAAAAGAAAAATATGCAAGAAATACTACCTATCTACTCAAACTGTAAAGCTTACATTGCTTCTAAATATAGACTCCATTGTCAACAGGACATGAAATGTCTTTTAATGGGAAGTTTGAACATCTGATGGGTTTATTATTCATATTTCTCATAATGACTGTAGAACTAAACAGTATTGTGGATTTGCATACTCTTCTTAGCATACTGAATCAAATTATGTCTGCCATACAGATTTCTTTCAGAGGCACAATTGACTGTTCAGATTATCCATTAGAAGGCCACAAATACAAGCTACAGGCAGAGCATTACTGTTCTAAAGTTTTAAACCATATTTTTACATGAACAGTTACATTTAAAATATTGATATTTTTATGTATCTTTATGTATTTTTCTCCCTTCAATTTATGTCTGTAAATATATGGAACTCAAGATCACAAATTTTATTTGGCATTCTTATTTTCCCAACACAGAACATAATTATGGAATAAATATGCCATATAGTAGCCATGCTTTGAGTTTTGGAACAATTTTTCCCTGGAGCATAAACAAAACTACAAACAAAAACAAAATCAAAACAAAAACCCCAGAACACTCCACCAACAAAATGGCAATTAAACTGATAAGATCTGCCAAGCTTCTTATTTTTAATTATTAATTTATTTAAATCTCTTTGGCCTGTTTTCACTCCCAAATTTTATGTTAATTCAAAGAAATTGAGAAAGTGCCCCAGGAAGTAATTCTGCTTCTTGCAAACAATTTTTGAAGATCTAAATCTGTTGACAGGCTTGGCTGTTTAGTTTAGACCTGGCTTAATATGAACCAAGAACATTTGCCTTCTTTTATCGTCACAGAAAAATTACAAATTTGTTACAAAAGGGGTGACACCTGTTGGTGCCGGGTAAGAAAGTTAACAAAGATCCAATACCATAAAGTTAAATGTGAAACCAGTGCAATCCGTATGGTGTGGAAGAAGTTTGTTTTCCCTCCTCAAATACTGTAGCAAGACAATGCAAGGTCTAGAAGGCCCCAGACTTGTACTACTGTTTGCCCCTGGGGAACACTTACACGTGCAGGTGTAACATCTTGCAGACAGAGTTGCTGGTAGGTGGGTTGACGCTAGGGGAACAGTCTCCAAATTGCACAGTACAGTTGAGACATTAGGATGTTGGTAAAGTAAAAACTGTCTATGCTGATAACAAGTATTGTGTGGTGGCTAAAAAGAACCACTTCTGGTATGGACCAGAGAATGTTATTTTAATTAGCTTCTGATCTGTTTGCCAACTATATTTCCTGTGGTAATAAATATTTTGTTTGTATTTTGTACCAATTTTTTTATAATGCAATTAAAATAAAAGCAAAATGAAAACAAAAATAGGCTTTAAAGACAAACTAAGCTTACAATGTAAAATCACACCCTAGTGGGCTATACCATAGGAGGTGAGCTTCTACAGCCTGCTTCGTACTTTAAGCCTTGCGTTAATAGTAATTCGAATAATTACAGTTACTATTGTCTTAAAAGTGGGTTGCTGGGTAATAAACTTAAAAAAAGAAAGAACAGAAAATAAAAACTATAATGCAAATAAAACAAATGCTAATATAAAAAGGAAAAAATAAAAGCAGTGGAATGTAGTCCTGGCTTGACATGAGTGATTGGACACGGGTAAGGCCTCATTTCTTGGGAGACAGGATTAGGAAGGTAAATGGATCAGCAGGCTAGAAACAGAATGACTGTACTACCTAAGATAAGGGGGAACACCAACAAACCATTTACAATGGACAAGATAACAATGGATAAGCCTAGAAAGTAAAATGAGGTAATGAGTAAGTTGTTCAGTGACTGTGTGCTGTACAAGGATTGGTTCCTACAAAGTGACCAAGCCAATCCCATGTGATGCAAAACATGATGCAATGAATACTAAACGCAATATATTGTGTTAATGCATATAAAGGAAGAGGTCTGTTGTGTAACTTTGAATGTGTGGTACGTCCTATAGTCTGATCAGCTCAGTACAGCTTTGCTGTCTGCCAAATAAGGGAACCTGAGTGACAAGACTGGTGTTGAACCGAATGTGTCTCGGGGGAACCCCAACACTCAATGCTTAACTAATTAAATTCAAACTAGTTGTGCTTCTGCCCATTGGCCCAAAACACATACAAAGTTCATGGTCATTTGTTTTGAGTAGCTGCTGCCTGTGGCATAGCTGAATTTGTTAAAATGTATTTTAGTTGATTAGAAAAGTGAAGTATGTTAGCTGATTAGCAGGGGGGAAGGCAACAACATACAGAGAAGTTACTTACAAAGAGTAACATTGACTTTATCCCTCCAGCTACTGATGTCAATACTGTTTATTAGAAACCTCTTTGATATAAATTAAAAGGCACTTGCCTGACATAACAAAAGACATGAGGCACAAATTGTGATGTCACTGGTGCCTTACATTATGAATTCTTTGTGTAAAAGTAAGAATGGCCAGAGAAATGAGCTCAGTGTGGAACCGGTCATCTGTAAATGAAAATTCAGAGCCTGTTTCTGTGCCACCTGGCCCGTGTGCAGTCATTTACATCTGTACAAAGCAGTTGCAAAGTAGATGTAAACACTACTAATTTAGGGCTAGTCTACACTGGCAATGCTAAAGTGCTGCCGTGGCAGCGCTTTAACATGGCTTGTGTAGTCACGGCAGAGCGCTGGGAGAGAGCTAAAAAAACCCACCTCCACGAGGGGCGTAGCTCCCAGCACTGATGCACTGTTTACACTGGCGCTTTACAGCACTGAAACTTGCTGCGCTCAGGGGGGTGTTTTTTCACACCCCTGAGCGAGAAAGTTGCAGCGCTGTAAATTGCCAGTGTAGACAAGCCCTTAGAGTGGTTGAGATTTACACTCACTTTTCACAGGTATAAATAACTAATTGAGGTGCATGGCAGTGGGGAATCAGACCACTGGTGTTTATTACTACTACACTAAGCTACTGGTTGAGATCCTCTTGGATTTTGTGTGTTTTAACAAAAAGCTGCAAACCGGGGCAGGCAGGTTTACTGCACAAATTAATGTGATACCTATTAAATAAAATAGTCTCTACAGGACACCCATGTTTTATCTCAACTGTGAACTCAGATGACAAACAGGAACTAGTCTGAGCAAGGGACCCTTAGAAAGTAATTGTATCAACTTGTCACTTGCTACACTGGCGCTGTACAGAGCTGCAACTTGCTGCGCTCAGGGGTGTGAGCTCGCAGCGCTGCAAGCTATTCCCCTCGGAGAGGTGGAGTACTTACAGTGCTGTGAGAGAGCTCTCGCAGCGCTGGCGGCGCGACTACACTCGTGCTTCACAGCGCTGCCGCGGCAGCGCTGGGAAGTCCTGAGTGTAGCCAAGGCCTAAGCTATGGTTAAGTAATTGCTAAATACTAAATGACTGTGTAGTTGACTTCAGTGGGACTTCAGTGGGTGCTTAAATTTAAGCACATGCTTAAATGCTTTGCTGAATCCAGGCCTTGGACAGGAATCCTACCCATAAGAATAACACTTTCTATATGAATGACAAGAGGTTATTTGGAGCAGAAGTTAACCCAGCAATGAATATTTCATTAGCTCGCTGTTTGATATTACTTTATTATTATTTTATGCGCCAAGGGCCAAATTCTGAAGTCCTTATTCAGGGAAAACTAGTAGTACCATAATAAGTGCCATTGTTTGATTATTGTTGTCATACGAGGCATCACAAAGGTAGTGCGGGCTTTTTCTTTTTCCATTTAGCGCTTGACCCTGCCTCTCATTGAAGTCAATGGGAGTTTTGCCACTGACTTCAATAGGAGCAGGACTGGGTGCGTACTTCAAGTTTAATTTGTTCAACAGGAAAAACAGAAGAAGGCGTCATACTGGTACTATAAATATTTACTTGTTTCATTCAGTCTGTCCACACTTTTCCAGCTAGGTAACGCAGACAGTTTGTGTTCCCTCTGTCTCCTGACTAGGCCTTTCTGCTGCCTCCAAAGAATCTCAGGCATAGATGACGCTAGGTCCAGATCTTTGCTTGGTGTATCTTCACTAGTCAGTGAGAATGCAGACTGAGACCTCTGTTGAAATAAAATTCAAAGAACATTATCTAAAAATAGTAGTAGCCAACTATTGAAGTATTAATTCCAATTAGCAATAAACAGTAACATTCTGCATGTCAAAGAAGTGTAGGGAATGAAATCAGCCTGAGAATGGAATTTTATTAGTTCAAAAAAACATTCTTGGGCTTGGATAGCGTGTTTACATGCATTTAAAATGCAATTGCTTCCTGTGAGGAAGGCAGGGAATTGTTTGTATTGCTAGGCACAAGATTAAAAGTAGTTACCCAAGGTGAAGCCGTACAAATTTGTCAGTCTGGGAGTGCTGCTTGAAAGCATCAGTCCACTTACATGTTAGCCAGGGACGAGCCCAGAACAGTGATACAGAACATTCTGACACATTGCTTCCAGTGGCGCCAAATTGAAGAGGTTAAAAAAAAAAAGAAAAGAAAAGAAAATACAACAGAAAAACCAAAATAAACCTGCATCTCAAGCAGCTTTAATTCTTGGATTCTTCTGCCTGCCAGGGAATACACATAAAACAAGAGAAGAACAGAGCAGGATCCAGCCAATGGATTCCACAAATTCTTATACTGTGTTTGCTACCCATTTCTAACACAGGGTCTCTTATAGCAGATCATTCAAAGGGAATGTAAGTTATGAGACAAGGTACTACCGAGATGCAACAGTGATTCCATACCTGTGGGGAAAGGGATTTTTTTTAGGAACCATATAAGCAGGTCAGTCATTTTAGTTCATGTTTAGTTCACGGCACCAGATAATGGCATTACACAACAGTGGGGGGTAGAGTGAGGGCCCAATGAACCAAATGAGAAAATAAAATGAAATATAAAAGCATATACCACCCTCTTATTTTTTAAACAATCATTTCTTTTGGGGGTTGGTGGGAAACCAGCGCACTCTGCTGGAAGTTTTAGAACTTGAGTCCTAATATTAGGTTTGTGGCTCTATATTTAGGCATCTAAATGTTGCCTCATTTTCAGAGATGCTAAGCACCTGCAGCTCCCATGGATTGCACAAGGATTTGTGGGCTCTCGGCACTTCTACAAATCAGGCCACTTATTTAGATGTAGAAATTTGAATAAAGAAACCTAACTTCAGGCACTTGACTTCGAAAATTTTGTTCATGATCAGTCAATATTGTTTAGCTGCACAATTTTTTTAACAGATAATTTTGCTTCCAATTACAGCATGTTCTTAGACTGCCTGAATGGCATAGACACTGCATTTTCCAATGGCAGTCTACTTTTCCCAGTTCACTCTTAGGGACTAAAATCTCTGTCACTAGAGAGTACAACTAAGGGATTGTCTTTGTAGGCCCTGGTCAAATAAAAGGGTTTGCTTTGAAGTTGTGCAGCATCTTTATGCAGGGGGTGGTGACATTTTTAGGGCTCTGTATTTTTCAACTGGTGTCCAAATACTTGACCAAAGTAGTTGACCAAAGTAGTTAATCGGAAAGGGCCAGACCCTCAGCTGCATCAGAGATCTGCTTCGCACGGGCAGGTATGGAAGAAGTGGCAAAGTTTACTTTAAGCTATTTTTGTTTTCTCCCTGCCCCTCACTCCAATTGATCCCTGGGGCAGCATCAAGTCTAAGTCCCTTTGGCTTGTAGCAGCCCCTTACGGGCCAATATGCTGACTAGAGATTGCCAAGTGCTGCTTCTCTGGCCACGCCCCCCAAGCGTCCCTCTGCCAGCTAGGGAGTCCCCCATGCCAGAGGAATTAATTGTGAATCACTCAGTACTCTTGGCTTAGTTCTATGATTTCATAAGGGAAATAGTAAAAAGGCAATGAATCAAGCAAGAGGGATTAGTGGGGCTTCAGGACTCCGAGGATCTGGGAAAATGCCAGAATATTGTCCTAGATTTGAACCTTCCAGAACAGTGTAATGGCCTTGTAATACTGTTAACACTGCCAATGCGGAGCGACAAGTTCTAGCACGATACACTGGAGTATTCCGTTTCAGCTCAATGGCACATGTTAATTAATAGAACATTGTATAAAATAATTGTGAGTTGCATTGGATGGTATTTACTTATATAACAAAAATCTTCAACATGTGAAAATAAATGTGTCATTGCACTAAATACCTGTAGAGTACAAGTAAGGTTCTCTCATGCTGAATTTTAAAAAGCTGGGCTAAGCTAATTTTTTTTTTTTAATTAAACTATTCTGAAGCTGAACCAATCCGTGTGACTTCAGTGAACATTACCTTAAATGGTAATAGTTGCAACTGGCAAAACACATGTACCTATGGCAGTTACTGTAACTGAAATAAATTAGAGAAGAAAAACTTTTTTCTGTACTTTTGAGTGTGTTTACTTTGTGCATTTGAAAGCACAATCAGCAGCACTGTCTCCCCTGAAGTCAGACAGTCATTTACTCCCTGGCTGAAAAGACCTTTATAGACAACAGGGGAACAGGGTTTTCTATCAGAAAGAGGAATTATTTCATATTAATCACTTTAACCATTAACAAAAAACAACATTACACCTTTGGATTCCAGTCAATTTCAAAAGACATATCTATCTTTAAGCCATTTTAGACCTTGGAACAGATCTTCGCCTGGTTTAAACCATGTGAGGATCTAGCCCCTTGACTTATTTTAAAAGTTCCACTATTAAAACATGGTACCAACAGTTACACTAATTGCTTTTGGTGTAGAGTTTTGCTTTATACTTGGATTTCATCCTACTCTTCAAAATTCCATCAGCTAAAAATAGTATAGTTATTTTAATTTCTCTGCATTCTCGTAGGAAATCAGGAGATACGGGGTCCATAACAAGCTCTGCCACTAACTTGTATGAACTTAGGCAAGTTTTAACCCCCCTTCTCCACCCTCCGCATGAGAGAATGCTAAAACCATATTATAATGTTCAGTCACTAGGTGGCGCAGTGTGGCTTATCTGAGCTGGTAACAGCCATACCTGGCAGTGCATTAAAGTATCATATCTTTTCTCCATGATGGAAGCTCTGTAGATAGTTCAAATATGGTACACAAGCCTTATCTGCTAGTAGTGCCCCTGCAACCTACCATGTACACAAGGAGTACGACACCCTTTGTGATTCAATTTACTCAACTGTAAAATGGGGACTACCTTACTTCCCGCCCTTAGAATTAATTAGGCTCAGCAACTGTTTGTAATGTGCTTTGAGACCTTTGGATGAAAGGTGCTCTGTACTGTAAATGCCAAGTTGTTTATTTAGTGCTGACAGCAGGATTGGCACCACTCAAGACAGAATGATGATGACAGTCCCTGCTCAAGAGCACTTATCATCAAAAAGGCTTCTAGAAGGCAAAAGACTCTGGGAAATCCAGAAGAGGGGATAATGTATATTCTCTCTAGCTAATACATATTTACAATTGTTATTAAGAATTCACAAGTAGTAGTGAATTTTCAGGTAGTATTTGAATGAGGGTGTAACATTCTATACCTTGGGGGAGTGCTCTGTAACCCCCATATTCCTCATTTACATATACACCTCTACCCTGATACAACGCTGTCCTCGGGAGCCAAAAAATCTTACCGCGTTATAGGTGAAACCGCGTTATATCGAACTTGCTTTGATCCACCGGAGTGCGCAGCCCCCCCCCCCCCGAGCGCTGCTTTACTGCGTTATATCCGAATTCATGTTATATCGGGTCTCGTTATATTGGGGTAGAGGTGTAGTTGTGATATTGCATATAAAGCATGCCATGCGAGGTATCATGAGAAAGGTTATGATCTGCTGAAAGCCATTGTTCCATCTAAATAGGTGTATCATTAATGCATATAAAATTATAAGAATTGTGTTGTATGGTTTTCACTAAAATATGCTGTGGGTTTGGGACGTGCCCAGATACTAGCCCTACAGAGACAATGGCAAGGGAAGAGGTAACCAACGCCCAGGTGGGGGCTGAACAGACATCACCAGCCATTGTCCAGCAGAAGAGTTATAATTCAGTGACTCCCTCACAGGAGACACACAGGGGTATTGCTTCACATCGTGACTCAGCAATGCCCACTAGACATGCCTGGATTTGTGTTCTCCAAGCACCTGGGACTAAGGGTATAAAACAGAACACAGGGGCCCCATGCTTGGCCTTTTCTCTGGCCCCCACCTATGCTGCAAGCAACAAGGACGCTCAGAAGACTGCAGACTCTAACAGAGGAGACTGGCTCAGGTTTCAAGGGTGAAACCTGTGTATTATGAACTGCAATATCCAGTGGGGTGAGAAAAACTGCTTAACTGCTTAGAGGTTGCCCAGTCTAATAGGGCTGACAGTTTAGATTGCTTACATTTTATTTTATTTTGGTAACCACTCTGACTTTTGCTTGTCGCTTATAATTAAAATCTATCTTTTGTAGTCAATAAACTTGTTTTACTGTTTATCTTTACCAGTGAGTTTGCCTGAGGTGTTTGGTAAATCTGCTCTGGTTTACGACGACTGGTGTAGATCCACTTTCCAATGATGAAGTGGTGAACCAATTAATAAACTTGCATTGCTCATCTTTAGCAGTGCAAGATGGCATATTCCTGAGGTGCCAGGCTGGGAGCTGGGCGGGGGATTCGGCTGGTGCCTTTCTCTGTGTGATTCATGAGTGGCTTATGCAATCTAGCTGGGTGTGGGGCTCCACATGCAGTTGTGCTGACTGATAACAGCGTCTGGAGGGGTTTGCTGCTTGTCACTAGCAAAGCATTGTGAGAGACAGCCCAGGCTGGAGAGTTAAGGGGGCACAGCGGTCCCACCATCCTAGGCTGCACCCCAGGGATCCCGTTGTGATGCTACGCCCATATTCTTCATAGAAATATTGTTATGATATGAATATGGCATAACTAAGATGTTTTATGCAAGATGGGTCATGTAAGGTATCATTGGAAAGGTTATGTTTTACTGAATATGATTATCCTCTTTGTATACATGTATCAGTTCTGTATCTGAACTTAGGAATATTGATTATAACAATTACAACATTTAATTTTCACCTGTTCATTTGGAATATGTAGAGTTCAGACCAA